CCCCCCCCCCCCCTTTCTCTGCCTCTCTCCCCCTCCCCCTCACACACACACACGTTCACACCTACTTGTTTTATCTCCTTTGTGGTAAAACAAAGTAGGACTATTTTCACATCTTAATAAGTTCAGCATACTTTCAGTTAGAAAAGCCATTCAGGTATCAAAATGTTCAGCTCTACAAGGCCATTACTACTTTATTGCATCTCATCCTTCAGATTATTCAACAAAGAACTTCAGACATTTCTTCTCAACTATTTCAACAAAGAACTTCAGCCATGTCTTCATGTTCTTTCAGCTGTTTCAGCAATTGATTTCAGGCATTTTCAGAACGATCTTTCAGCTTATTAGCATCCACACGCATTTACGACAGGAAATGCATTTCTCTAGTATTTTATTATGTGTTTTCTTTTTCTCTCTTCTGTCAACTGATCTGCCTTTTCTTCTTTCTATTTGCTACTTATGTATGTCCCTTTTATGGTCCCTATCATGATCATTTGAGATTCGTATTTTTTTTTCTATATCAAGTACCTTTTCTTTGCTGTAATAGGGCCATTGGACATTTAAATTACCTTCCTAGTTTAGACACCGTAGCTACTTTTGATAGCTTTAATTTCCAACCACACCCCCTGCCTAGGTTAGAAGGCCACCTAATTTCTCATTTATCTTTGTCTCTATAATCATAATCAGTGGACATTAGAACAACTAGATTTTTTTGTGCAATTTTAGGCCCACAAATGACAAGGCTACTTTTTTAATTACTGTATTACATGCAGATTGTTAGTTTTCTATCATATCAACTAGATCGTGTCAGCACTGTATTTTTACTTGGGCAATACTCTAAACCCCTTATTCACCAATTGCAGCAGTTTCAAGATAAGAATGTCAGCTAAAGACATGAATCAAAAAATGCCTGCACTGTCCCCTCAATTCATTTTAACATCTCCTTTCCATCGTCCTGCTGCTGCCTTTTGTCCCTGGTGCTGGTGCAATTCATCTTCTTTGTGCTTTCTTGTGTACCCTCCCCACCCCCCTCCTGTCTCTGCTGCCTTAAGGGACGTCAGATTAAAAAAACAGTCCCTGTGGAGTCTTAAAATTTGGTTTCTATTATCATACTTTGCCATTGACTTGTCATCTTACAGTACATCTATAGGCAATATGTTTAGCTGAGAAATGTGTTTAAGTTTTTTAAATCCCCCCTGAAATTGGTATCTCAGACACATAGAGAATATGTCATTTAAAAACACAGCAGAAGACCTATTCTAGAGTTCTTGATCACTTTAATGGTGTTTATTCACTTGTGTGAAGTATGTTGTTCTTTGAGAAATTATTATTAGTAGTAGTAGTATTTTGACTATTAGACCACAATGACAGTGACTTGACAAATAAAAGGTTGGCTTTTATATACAGTCTGACTGAAGATGAATTGCACCAACAAAGAGGGACAAAAGGCTTTAAGAGAGATCATATCTCTCCCATATTAGCTTCTCTCCACTGGCTCCCTGTAAAATTCAGAATAGAATTTAAAATCCTTCTCCTAACATGCAAAGCCTTTAATGACAAGGCTCCATCGTATCTTAAAGACCTCGTAGAGCCTTATCATCCTAACGGAGCACTTCACTCTCAGAGTGCTGGTTTACTTGTGGTTCCTAGAGTCCACAGAAGTAGAATGGGAGGCAGAGCCTTTAGCTATCAAGCTCCTCTCCTATGGAACCAGCTCCCAGTCTCAGTTCAGGAGGCAGACACCCTCTCTACCTCTAAGAGTAGACTTAGGACTTTCCTTTTTGATAAAGCTTATATTTAGGGCTGGATCAGGTGACCCTGAGCCTTCCCTTAGTTGTGCTGCTATAGGCCTAGGCTGTCAGGGGCCCCATGACGCTTTGAGTTTCTCTCCTCTACTTTCCTCTCTCTCTATGCTTCTATATGCCACCATTACACATCACTAACTTTGTGTCTCCTCTCCCCCATACTGTGTCCTCGCTCTCGCTCTCCCTGTACCTTTCTGCAGATTGCCCTGGCTCTGGAGCTCTACGTCTCTGATGAGCAGTCACCGGCTAAATCAACCTGACCAGTGTTTGATTGTTTGTTGTGTCCTGCTGCTTTTCTTCTTTTCTCTTTCCTCTATCCACTCACCCCAACCGGTCGAGGCAGAAGGCCGCCCATAAGAGCCGGGGTCTGTTGGAGGTTTCATCTATTAAAGGGAGTTTTTCCTCCCCACTGTCCCCAAGTGCTTGCTCAAGGGGGATTTGTTGGGTTTTCCCTCTGTAATAATAGTGATAACAGTAAGGTCTAGACCTTACTTTGTAAAGTGTGCTGAGTTGACTTTTGTTGTGATTTGGCGCTATGCAAATAAAATTTGATTGATTTGACTATATTGTATATCTCGTTACGTGCAAGTGTACTGTCTTGTAGTCTAATCTTGTTTTTTGTTTTTAATTCTCACTGTCTCTCAGCTGTCAGAAGCCAAGGACAAGACACTTGAAAGTCTAAATCGATCAGCTGATTACAAAGAGCTAAAAGGCAAAGACCCATCAACTGTAGAACTGGTCAAGAAAATTGAGCAGGTACCCAATAACACTGCAGTGCTATTTTATTAGAAAACTAAATAATAAATTACATACCTGTACATTTTTATTATAAAGCATATTGGATTTTAAAAGTTCTGTTGCAAGATAATAATCATTGTTTCACTGTTCATGCATATGTAGCTTGAAGCCAATCTAGCAGAGTGCGAGAGGCAGTTGCTGGAAAAAAAGCTCCTCGTGGACCAGGTCACACGGCTCTCAAAGCCACTCAAAGAGCAGATTGAGAACTGCCAACAGGACAGACTCTCACTAGCAAAGGAGGTAGACTACAGGATCCACTTGCACACAGGCAGAGATAAGCTCATATACACACAGATGAAATGGATACAAACATAAAAGAATACACATGTATGTTTTAGCACACATACAGACACATTTGCTAGATCATTTACTTGTTCATTTAGAGTCCAGTCTTCTATCTGTGTCTATGTCACACACACTCTCCCACATTGCTTGAAGAGCATGGAGGGTCCATGTGAGGAGTTGCAGAGTGGGCATTTAGGAGTTCAGTGAGCATTACAGTTCCCTTGAACTTGCATTCATGCTGGGTTTCTCAGTCTCTCACCAACTATAAATAACATCAGTAAAAGCTAGTGGTCGATATGTAACAGCATGTGAACGCATGTAATAATACATTTGATTTGAAGTACTACACGCAAGATGTTAAGTACATTTAGTAAAAACATCTATAACCAAAGGTTCACTTAAAGTATATGTAAGTAGGTGAGGAATAACACTGAAACATAAAACATTATTTCTTTTGAATCTATGTAAGATTCACTCACTCTTTGTGTGTGTGTGTTGTCTATCCCCAGTTGAACAATCTCCGAATTCACATAGTCAACACCAACCACCGACTGATGGCTGTTTCTGCAGAACTTTCCATGAAGCAAGCTGCTGCTTTGTCTCAGCTGCAGGAGATCAAAGAGAAAGAGCTCCAGGTCAGAGGGCTCCCAGCCAGGCACAGCTGGTACCATACACCCACAACAATGCCATTCTGGAGTCCAAACTGCAATCCTGGTTGCACATTCTCCCCATTATTCCTGATACTCTCTACTAATTGTGTCAAAAGTGAGAGGTCCTGTTGTAGTATAGTGGTTACAAAAGTAAAAGTTCCATTCATCTTTCTCATAGAAAAAGTTACATGAAATGTTACATTGGCATAAAACTTACACGGTTCAATCAACCTCCAAATAATTATCAAGTGTTACGAATATATGATTATTCAATTATTAAAAAGTCAAAGGTACAACCTTACAGTATATCCAAAGGTGCATTTCCATACAAAACATCTAATCACCAAGCTTAAAATTTTGTCACATGACCCAATGGGGGAAGAGAGCTAAAGATTACAGTGCTGAGAATAAATGAAAACATAATCTACAGCAGGGGTGCCCACACTTTTTCGCCTTGCGATCTACTTTTCAAATGACCAAGTCAAAATGATTGACCTACACTAAAAATACCACACACACACGCACGCGCGCACACACACACAGAATATATGTATGAATGAGTGTCATAGTTTTTATGAACAGTCTGAAAGTGCCGCTCCACATTTCCCTTCTTCAGGAATAGTGATGGTAGATTGGTAGATCAAGCAAACACACTTCAAATATAACGTCGCAAAAAAAAAGTCCACCTCCCATTCCGCATGGAATGTTTTCGATACGTTTTCGGTTTCTTACTTGATTCGGCTCCCCCACTCAGTTTATACCCTTTAGTAGAAATTAATTCGAAGGCTGACAAGGTGGTTTGTTCACTGGAGTTTTGCAGTAGCTCGTGCGGTTGACTGTGCATGTTTGGTGACTTGTGTGTCAGAAAAAACTAGATCTCAGACTGGCTGTCCTGCATGTCAATCAAGTAGCAAATGCCATAGGGAGGATGGATGATAGGCTATATATGAATGATTGTTACTTTCTGCTTTTCCTGTTAGGGGTCGCCACAGCGAATCGTCACACTGACATTTCACATGTTAATATTTGGCACGTGTTTTACACCGGATACATCTAATTTATTTTTGAATGGCACGCGATCTTCCAACACTACCTTTGCGATCTACCGGTCGATTGCGATCGACGTATTGGGCACCCCTGATGTACAGTTTAAATCATTGAGACATAGATTATCAAATTATTTGACAATTATTTTGTCCTGTGTTCATAAGATGCATGAACAGTAAGTTAATCTCTTAAGTGTTGGTTCTGTATACTTTTAACTTCTCTTTTCAAAATTCACTCCTGCAAATTTCAGCACCAGTCTCCTCCTCTGAGGACATAGTGAAGAAGAGATCTGGACTGGCAATGTAGAAACAGTAATACCAGCTTTGTGTTCAAGCATACACTGATTTTACTTCAGATTCATTTTTGTTCAGATGTGGGGAGGCAATGCTAACTTACAGTATTGATGTTATTTTATTCCTATTGCAGAGTCGGTGTGTGAAAATATATTATCACAATGGATTTGTGCACTTTAAGGAGGGGAAAAAAGCCACCAGCTAAATTGTAATTTAAGTAGAAATTTTTGAAATTTTGGCAGTGGTTTGAACAGAAAAGTTCACTGCTTTCTCTCTCAATAAGAAAAAACTAGTAAAAGTGAGTCCCACATGCCTTGTAGAAGTTTCAAGAGATGTGTATTAATAACCTGAAGTGCCCCTGCAGCTGATGTATGCCTGCAGTGTTCCACTGACACAACTAGGGACATAGGAAATGCAGAGGCATAACTTTGCCCAAATTCTGACACTAATACGATCATCTGTTTTCTGGCGCTGTTAGAATTGAATTGAGCCAAAAGAGTGCAGAGTGTAGGCAGTGATAGGAATACAGAGTGAATGCTTCTCATGCTGTCCCTGTGTTTACAGATGGACAGATGCCAGCAGTGGCTGGAGCAGGGCCTGCCACCCTGCCCTGAGATAGAGGAGGACTGGAGGAGGATGCTCCGGGACAAGAAGAGGAGGCAGAGGGACAAAGAGGAGAGAGAGAGGGTAAAGAAACACACAAGGATCACTGGTCAGGGATTGATTTAAGCAGTGAGGGGCAAGAAAAGAAGACACAGTGACAAAGAAGTGGAGTGGGGACACAATGCAGGGCAGAAATTGATTAAGATTCTGAGGGCTGCTGTACATCTGAGCTCTCACTGACAGAAGTGAGTAGTAACTCTCCACACACAGGGACTGGGCAGGAATTACAATTGTTTTCACCACTTGCACAAACACAAAACAAGAAGGGCAGACAGACAGAAGTAAAGCCTATCTACACAAGAAAGGCACACATACGGGGATCATTTGTGTCTAAAACTTGCCTAGCTGTCTGCAGCCTGTCTGCTGTTATACTGATCTGTATTTTCTCATCCGATTTATTCCTGCTTATAGCCGCAGGCCCACAAAGACACCATGATACAGTACGCTGCTTGCACAGTGCCAAGCCAAACATATAGTAGGAAGAAACCTGCAGAAACTGAAATGTTAGTGTGAATCTGATCGAAGAATTTAAGCTTTTTTTTTTACCCTCTATAGACCATTAGAGCCAAAACTTGCCATTTCAATTTTCACTTTCAAGCCATTTTGGCTGTGTTAAATGAATGTAGCTCAAATTTGGCACAGGATATTTATCCATCCATCCATCCATTTTCCTCAGCATGTCCTGGGTCTTCCCCGGGGCCTCCTCCCGGTGGGACATGCCCGGAACACCTCCCTAGGAAGGCGCCCAGGAGGCATCCGAAACAGATG